TCGATCCCCAGGCTGCTATACCCGCTGTCAAAAACCCGAGCCCGACAATCCTTTGCCTCGTGACCCCTCTTGTGGCAGTTACTACACTCCAAGTTCTTCGTCAGGCACACATTAGCCCTGTGGCCGTTCTTGTGACACTGTAGCATTCAACCAACTCATCACCTTGCCGCTCCAAACTCTGATCCCATCCGCTTTTCCGTCGCGCCCCCGAGGCCACTCTGTCACTAACAGCTACCGCAGGGCACGCTGTTTCGCTGTTCTTCATACGTAGTCTCTGGCTTGTCTTGCTCTTCGCCATCATCCATTGCAATAGGTCCTCTAGGACCGCAAAGTCATCAGCAGTCCCGTTCTCATTGAGCGGGATTTTTGCTCTGCACCAACGACAAAACATACTCATCCTTCCAGCTCTTCATACAAGGTATACGGGTCACTCGGCCATTGTAAACTACCAACTCCTCACTCACTGCCCAGACCTCTCGTCGCCGATCAAAACTCTTGTCTGTCACAACCAGCCTGTCAATGAACCCGTGTAGGTTACCTCGTTCGACCTTCCGGATGTGTTCAAGCCACATAGGGGAGGCAATTCCACTCAACACTGCTACCAGCAGGCTTACGCTCGGTCGATCAGTGTCTATGCTCAGAGCAACGTCGTCAACGACCTTGTCTAGTTCTCTCTCCGACCTCGGATCAAACGTTAGACCCTCTACCCTAGACATTCAGCCCGACGGGTTCGCTCACATCTATGCGACCTGCTTGTCTGGCATCTCCTTCGGTTTGTGGAACCTAAACCGTGCCTCTCCGCAACGATACTCAGCTTCACCGTCGTCGTCCTTATACCTTCACCCCCTCATTCTACCCCAAAAAAATTCTGGCGCACGTGGACATGACGCGCACACCACAAGAGACGTCGCCTTACGTTGTGGGCTGAAAGGTCTTTTGCGGAGAACTAACATTGAACTAACTACGATGGCGCACAGCACAGGCAGCGGGACTCGTGAGGGGGGTTCAGTGGGCGGGACCGTCTCGTTGGGTTCGACCACCCAGATAACTCAGGTCGGAACCCTTTGCTAAACTGGCTCGGTTTGCACTCCCTGTCGTATTTACGGACATCCATTGGGTCTATTGCTGAAGGATAGAAGGTCCCCGGGGCGTTCTTTGTCCTAGAATTTTGGTGGGTACCGAATTGTGTCACGACAAGAGGAAGTACTGCGTTATACTAGGAGGCTGCGTTATACTAGGAGGTTGGTTGGTGTACACATACTGCGGTTGG